CGCGCTGTAGCCAATGCCGTTGCAGAAACGAGCTGGATCCGGAACCTTCTACTTGAGCTGCAGCAACCTCTTCACCGTGCCACCCTTGTCTTTTGCGACAACGTCAGTGCCGTGTATCTATCGACAAATCCTGTACAGCACCAGCGCACCAAACATGTGGAAGTTGATATTCACTTTGTCCGTGACAAAGTAGCACTCGGCCATGTCCGTGTTCTCCACGTTCCCTCGTCTTCGCAGTATGCTGACATCTTCACTAAGGGACTGCCATCTTTATTATTTCTGGACTTCAGACAAAGCTTGGGAATCAGACCTCCCCCACATCCGACGTAGTCGGGAGCATGTTAAATATATTGTGTATATTTAATATATTGTATTATTCCCTTACCTTATTTGTATAGGTTTCCTTCCTTGTGTCTCTCCTACCATGTTTAGGATTGAGATTCCTCTTATATATATACATGTAACCACATCATATTCAATTAATGAAAATCATTATTCTTCATACACAAATATTATACAAAAAAATGGTTACATGAATTCTTATATTATGAAATGCATAATAAATATAAATAAATAAAGTAAAAAGAATTTGATTGTGCCCGTAAATCACTTTCCGATGAAGTGAGTATTTCAATTTTCAACACAGAGGAGATGACCAATGAAATGGGCCTAGTTTTTTCAATCAGTCCAAACATATTTTGTCCGTAGTCGAATTAAATTGCTCTCTTCAAATTCAGGCCCAAGTGTTCATTGTAGTTTGGGCTCAGGGCCTCCGAATTTAGCAAGCCCGTACTTTAATAATTGAATTCAAATGTTATACTCCCGTACATAAAAATATTGCGTATGACATTGAGTTTTAATATCATGAGATTATATTGATCCAAATTGAGGCACTTATAATCCTCAATTCATAAAATTGATGATGTTTATCCCACTTAATCTCCAGAGAACACTCTCACCCCGTCCGAAGAACCACCCCCAATCCCTAAATTTAAATGACTGACTTTGGAGTCTATTGTTTTACTCCAAAATTAACTAAACTCTAGAGATTCAATTGAAAGGGTTGGGAATGGATTCAGGGTGAGCTGAAAAGTTTACCAGAAGGTTAGGATAATAAGAACTATCAATTTTATCAATCAAACACCATAAGCGCCTCAATTAAGGTCAATAATCCCATGACATTAAAGCCCAATATCATAGGAATCCCATTGCCCCGCTTAAAATAATTGTATCACATAAATATTGGGAGGGGGTGGGGGGAGAGGTTCGGCTGCCATGAGCCCCTCATGTCATTCTATGAAATGGGCTTCGATTAAAGTACCTACGGTGCTCCGTTCAAAAATTGATGGTTCCTACCTTCCTTAACCTCCCTCTCCCCGGTAAACTCCCACCCGGTTCAAACTTACCCCCGCATCCCTGTCAATTGTACCACACAAGATTTACGTGGATGTATTCAATCATGATTCTGATGTATTTTTTTGGATTCTAAAAATCTGTAGATATACAATTCAGATTTTACTCGCTCAAATTAAAGGAAAAGATTTTTTCAAACGATTGGATTATTTTTGTTAGGATGGAAATTTTTTGTGATTCTTTTAAAATGATCGGATTTTGGTTTGACCTTTCATAGGTTATTGGATCGGATTTTTCTAGTTTGTGTAATTTTTTGTATAGTTACCTATGTATTTTTGGTTTTTACACAATTTTGAAAAGTCATGGAACAATGATGAAGTATATCCCAGAATATGTCAAGTTTATAAAAACTCATGAAAATTCATAAAAAAGTAAGCCAAACTATGCATATGGAGTCTACAGATTTTCTAAATCCACAGACTTTTTAAAGTTTTAAAAAATACAATAAAATTTTAATTTAATACACCTTCCTTAGTTGACTTTGGAGTCAAATTTTGACTCCAAAGTCAAGTAAATTTTGTGAAGTGCAATTGACAGAGGTGGATTCAGACCAAGCCAAGGTGGGGAGATTTACCCCGAGATAGGAACAATTAATTTTTCGAACAGATTATCGTATGGACCTTGGGTCATCCTATAACATTAATTTCCAATGTCATGGAAACCAAGATGATAAATTTTTCCAAAGAGTTTGTCATTTTCAATTAATTCCGAAAAAAATGAAAAAAAAAAAAACTGAAGACTAAATCAAAACAAAAGAAGTGTAAAGAAAGCAGATTATCATATATTCAAATCTAAATAAAAACAAAACACTCCACATTTCAAGTCATACCATAAACAATTTTGGGTGCTTGGGACAAAATTGACATTGCCAAATTAAAAAAGAAAAAGAAAACATAAACAACATAATACCATCCAACCAAACTGCCCTTTCTCAGTTAGTTTCCCAAACTCAAACATCATTCAATAAACAACAATAGGGAGAGTCAATTTAATTCAAAACCATCATACCCCAAATAATGCACAACATGTCATTATAAAAAACACACACAAACTAAACATAGTCCTCCCTTCCATAAACACCAAATAGTTTAAGGTCCTACAATGCCCCCATAATGTTCACAACCATGTCATAGAAAGAGAGAGAGAGAGTGAGAAAGAAAGAATAATACTCCGTAATACATAAATATATATAAATATATATCTAATGCAATTTGGAAACTCTTGGGACATCAACGGGGAATCCGTGGATCTCGTCCATCCACGGATTCTTCTCGTTCGCGGGGTTTATGGTCCTCAGCGCCTTCCACACGGCGCTGTTGCACTTAAACCCCGAGCCGAACGCGATTTGCCAAGTCCTGTCCCCCTTCCTCATCCTCCCCTTCGACTCTGAGTACGCCAGCTCGTACCACAACGAGCTGCTCGACGTGTTCCCGAATCTGTAGAGCGTCATCCTCGACGGCTCCATGTGCCACTCGGAGAGCTGGAGGTTCTTCTCCAGCTCGTCGAGCACCGCCCTCCCCCCGGCGTGGATGCAGAAGTGCTCGAACGCCAGCTTGAAGTCTGGAATGTACGGCTTTATCTTCACCTTCAAGATCTTCCTCCCCACGAGCGTCGCGAGGAAGAGGAGTTGCTCGGACATCGGCAACACGAGGGGGCCGAGGGTCGTGATGTTCGTCTTGAGCGCGTCCCCGGCGACCGCCATGAGTTCCTTCGAGAGGGACACCCCGACCTTCCCGTCCCCGTCCTCGAGCTGCGCGATGCACGCGAAGCACTTGTCGTCCGACCCCTTGTGGGTCCGGACGGTGTGGACGAGCTGGTACTTGGACCGCCTCCGGTCGCGGTTCTTGTTCGAGAGCAGAACCGCGGACCCGCCCATCCGGAACAGACAGTTCGGGAGGAGCATCGACTTCTCGTTCCCGAAGTACCAGTTGAGAGTGATGTTCTCCATGCTTATCACGAGCGCGTACGTGTTCGGGTGGACTTGGAGGAGGTCCTTCGCGAGGTCAATGGAGATCAACCCCGCGCTACACCCCATCCCGCCGAGATTGTAGCTCACGATGTTCCCGCGGAGCTTGTAGTGGTTCACGACCATGGCGGACAACGAGGGCGTCGGGTTGAACAAGCTACAATTCACTATCAAAACCCCAATGTCCTTGGGGTTCACCCTAGTCTTCTTCAAGAGCTCATCAATGGCACCGAACATGACCGTCTCCGCCTCCTTCCTCGCCTCCGCCATACACGGGTTCGGCGGGACCCTGAGAACCGCGTCCGGGAGGTACGTCGACTCGCCCAAACCCGACCGTTCGAGAATCTTCCTCTGGAACTCGAGGTTCTCGTCCGAGAACGAGCCCGTCAAGCGGGACCGCTCCATGAAGATCTGGCGGGTGCATTTCCGGGCGTCGTCCGGTTTGTAGCAAGAGAAGTCGACGAGGTAGACGGGGCGGGGACGGGTGAGGAAGTAGAGGGTGGAGAGGAAGACGAGGAGGGTGGAGCAGATGATGACAGAGACAAGATTGAATCTGAGATGATCCCAGAGGAGATAGAGATCTTTGAAGGAGAATGTGGAGAGCTGGGCAGCAATGAGTACAACCAGTGGGGATAAACATAAATACATCAGATGGGTAATCAGATAATGGTAACCTAATTTCACATACTTCAATTTCACAGACTGCTTGAAATCTGGCAGTGCTTTTGAAGAAGATGAAGATGAAGAAACTGCAGATTTCATTTCTGGGTCCATAAATTTAACTTTCCTGCACATAAAAAAAAGAGAAAAAGAATCAAGAATTAGTGCTGTGACTTGATTTGGGTGAATTAATCAACTGATTAGGTCAAATTCAAACTTCAAAATAAAAAATTCCCAAAAAAGGGATCCAATAACTGGGGAAAGCTTCAAAAAAAGAATGGATCTAGCGATGATTTTCCAAAACCATTCTTTTTTTCGTTATTCGAACTATAAATAGAAGTGATGAGCTACAAATAGATTCTACAATCTACATCCGAGAATATCAAATCCAAAGACACAGGAAAAAGTGGAAAAAAAAAAATCTACAAATTGAATTCATAGAAAGTTTTAAAAAAAAGTAAATCTTTTTATCTTTCTAATAAAACCCAGATTCAATGTGAGACATCAACAATGGCATTTCGCAAGAAAGATCTGATCAGGGGAAATTCACAAAGAAAACTAAATCCCCAAAAATATAAAATAAATAAATTAATGATTATATAACAGATAAATTTGAAATTCAACAGACCCAGATGAGAAAGGAGACCAAACCTGAGATCATTAACCTGAAAAAATGGATTGAGAGTGAGAGAGAGAGAGAGAGAGAGATTGCATATGAAAATTGAAGTCTGGATACATATAAAAAGGGTGAACTCGTGATTCGATTATTTGGGAGCAGAACAGAGAATAAATTTAAAAAATACGGAGTAATAAAAAAAAAAGGCATATAAACAGAAACCGAGTGACGGTGGGATTGAAATTAAACGGAGCAAAACGGAGTCGAAATAGACAAAAACCCATCATCTAAACTCTGTATTGTACTCCGATCTATTAAAAAAAAATTGAAAAGTTAAAAATTTATAATTAAATTTTGTTTATTATGTTGGTAAAGTATGAACAAATACTACTACGTATATTATAAATGTGTTAATGACATTAAAAAATGTGTTTAGTTGAGAGAAATTTTGTGAGACGCATGTTTTATTTATTTGGACGTCTTTCTTTAGTATTCCTTAATATTAATTCTAGTGTAATATGATATTTGTTCATATATATTTTATGGGGTTTTTTGACTCGCTAGTCATTGTACACCTTTGGTGATCCGACCGAAATCTCAAATCCTAAACGAAATTGTTTGTAAAGATATAAAATGATGGTTGTTAGTTACATGCGAAAAATGCTGGGCGATTTACCAATGGTTGACCGAAGTGTCAGCGACAATGGATTGCAAACTTCGAAACCACCAGCATTTCATACGAGGATGGTGGATATCTCTCTCTCGTTGAGCCAACTTTGTAAATGTGAATTTCGATATGCCAAAGTTCGTAAAATTGGAAATATCAAAATATCTCCATTAGGAAGGTGAGATGTCGAGAGATATCAAATACGAACATTGTTTAGCCTTCACCAAACACTCCTGAAAAGAGTTTTGATATTAATAGACATTAGAGCTCGTATCTTCCACGCTGACTAAAGAGGCTTTTAATTAAAAAATTGTAAAATTTACATTGTGACATCCAAAAACGTAAACTTAATTTTAAAATGAAGTGACTTTGTTGATATGCAATTTAAGATTTTGACGATGTTATAACCAAAATAACTTTAAGTTCACAAACAAATATAAGCCATATGTAAACTACCAAAATTGGGAGAAAGGGATTCTAAATTTAGAATTGTGGAGATATATATGCTTGAAGGCAGAGCATGTGGCGCTCGAGTGGGAAATTCTTATATACTTTAGAATTTCGGTCGGAAATCCTAAACGAAATTGTTTGTAAAGATATAAAATCTCACTTCTTATATACTTAACGGTGAAATTCATCCTCTTGTCTTTTTTTTAAACACTCCTTTGCTTGTGAGCGTTGCGCAGTTGGCAAGATAAGGTATGTCAATGGGATAACACTCGAATTCGAATCCTGGCAACTGCGCTAGGAAGCAACTACGCTAAGCATATGGTCTCTGCAAATATCAGATGCGGGCTTTACTCTTTTCCACCAATTTTCGATTAAAGTCCAATTTATCTCCTCTCAGTAACTGTCTGGCCGGTTCTGAGAAAACTCTCAGGGAGGGATGTGGTTCATCCTTTTTTAACGGTCCTTTTCTCCTTAAAAATTAAGGGCGAACAAGCCCATTTAAATTCCGTTGGGGTTTTTACATTTTACAAAGCCCACTTTCGGATTTACCTAATACCAAACCGATATTATTAGTCTGTCTTTTTCATTATCACAATTGTTTTTTCTGGGTTTAGATGTACGCAGAGAACAACTGCACAAGTGTGGGGACCTTTTTTGAATGGAGAATTGTGGAGTATCCAAAGTGGTGTACTTGTACACTAAAACATTCACATGCATACATAGACATTAAAATGCAAGAGTTATCTAGAGGTTAGAATTTGTATACTACTCCCTTCGGTCTTAAATATATTTCATGTTTTGATTTTTTTGGTCCAACAGTGACACGCTTTGACTACATATGAAACATAATTTGAATAAATAAATGATATAAAAACTTGATATATCAAAATTATATTCTAAGACGAACCCAATTATATTAAATTTTTATTATAATTAAATATAATTTTATCACAATTTATAGTTAAAGAGTGTCTCTTTTTTATCAAAAAAGTCAACATAGAAAAAGTTTTTAGGACTGGAGAATGTATAAATGAAATTAAAAATATCATTAATCAAACATCTTATAATCCGCAACAAGAAAATATTGTTGAAATTGAATGAAGTAATATCTCACACGATCTAATCCGTCCGTCCAACAATAATGTTCTCGTTCACAATTCACATATTCAAATTTTATTTACTTTGTTGACGTATTTTTGTTGCGCGTTTGATAAAATAATATATCACGTTATCTCTATTTTTTAGATCTTTTCAGGTAGTTTTTAAATATGTAATTTTCATTTTTTAGTTCCATGCGATTTTTTAAATGAAATGATTTGAAAATAATTTCATTCAAACATCGTAACACACAACGAAAACATTATTGTTGGATGTACGGGGGAGTGTAATTTACTCAATTACTCGTATGATTTATGAGGCTCAAACAATTCCAACACTCCTAAATTTCAACCAAGAAAGAAAGGGAGAATGGTCCACATTGACTGCAAAGCAACGTCGTTTCGCAAGCGGTTTCCATTTCTCGGAGTTTTATCTAAGAAGACTGGACGTACTATACTAGTTGCTGACTTGCTGTGGCGGCCAAGTGTTTGACTTTGACATGCCCCGGGGAACTTATGTTATAGACGTTCACATATCCAAATTCTTCCAAATTCAAATAAAAAAAATACTTCATCCGTTTCTCTAAGATGTTCTCATTTTGATTTTTAGTGATTTTTTAGGAGAGTTGAAAAAAGGTGAAAGTTTACCATAATACCCTTAATGAAAAATGTGTGGAGTGTATTAAATAAGGTGAGTGAGGTGTAACAAATAAAGTAAGTGGGATAGTTGTGGTATTTTACTTGTTAAAAAATGAAATGAGAAGATCTATTGTGGACAAAGAAAAAGGGCTATTGGGAAGATCTATGGGGGACAGAGGGAGTAGTTTTTTTAAATATGGAGTATTTATTTAGGTGATTATTCAATTGAGTGATTTTTTAACATTTTATTTCCATCATTTTTCAACTCCTTCCAGTTTTTCTAATTCCTTCATGCTTCTTCCAACTTCTTTCAATTTGTTCTAACATTCAATTTTTTTTAGTTTCTAGACGAACGGAGCCTTACAACATTATTTGTGCAGTATAAAAAAAATACAATCAAAAGCGTATGTTTATGATTGTAAATTTATTTCCAAAATAGAAATTTGCATTGTGATAATATGACATTATATATGAACATTTCAAAACTATTTTAGTTAATATATAAGGTAATGATTAACATTGCATATGCATTTTAACTCTTACTCCATATTTCAAAAATAAAAATATGAAATCTTTATTTTAGTATATTTTCAATATTTTACTCCCAGTCTTTTTTCCCAAAAAACTACTCCGTATCTAACAATAACATTTAGTTTAACGCTTGCAATATACTCCGTATCATAGTAAAAATTTAATCTAAAACGTTAATTAATAATGTAATTTTCAAAAAAAAAGCCTAGTAGTGTGATCTTTTTTCTCAATCTCTGTTGCAACTTTTTTTCTTTCTCTAATGGTGTTTTTTGGCACATCATTTTTTTAATGGTTTGTAGTTTGTAGTCTTTTCTTTTCCAGGTGAAACAAAATATTCACCCCGTCCAGAATAATTTACCCATTATTAGACTTTCGATAAATCAAAAAATGATGATAGAGTGTTAAAAAGATGTAAGAAAAATTGAGTGTTTAGAATTACCCGGTATTTAAAAAATATTTTTTAAATTATATATCCTTTTCCAAAAAGAAAAGGAATTACTTTGGGACAGTTAAAAAATGAAAAGGAATAAATTTATTGGAGGGTAAAAGAGTAAAATAAATGAAAAAACAGTGAAGTTGGAAAACGAGTTGGCATTGGTCTTTTAAGGTGTAAACAGATCACGTGTGATGCACTTTCCAGCCTCGTCAAATATTCTGTCAATTGTCAAATTTGTCACACATGCACTTTTCATTTTAAATTAACTTTTTTACTATCACAAAATTTATGAAAAAATAAAATTTATAGTTGAGATTTACACAAAAAGAAGTAATAATATGCCACACCCAATATTTGCTTTAAAAAGAATGAGATGAGAAAACCCAAGAATGAAAAATAAAAAATTGAGCTATCAAGTGAAAAAAGTATACATAATAAATTTGCATCCATATTTTTTAAAATATAAACCTAAGATACATATAAAAAAGGTGCACATTCATTTACTAGTAACAAATTTTGGGAAGTTTGGATGGATGGAATAAGATTGGTCCAAATAAGCATCCTAGTAATCACCGTGACCAAAACATGGGCTAAAATCTTTTTTTTTTTTTTTGAAAAAAGCATCGATCAAGTTTACTTTCTAGACAAAATAAAGTTTAGGAACCTACATAATAAAAAAAACTTCAAATTTTAGGTAATACCTGCGGAGTACGTTTAGGAACTTGAATAAAAAAAACACCTCAAATTTTAGGTAATATTTACGGAGTATAAAATTTATCCTTTACTCATTATTTCTCCCGTAGAGAGTTGCGCAGTTAGCAAGGCAGAGGATTCTGCCCGAGTCCGATTCACTTTTTGCTATCAATATATGATTAAAACCTAATTTATCTCTTCTCAGATGCCCTCATCAATGGGATTATGAGTTGATCCCTTCTTTTTGTTTTTTTTATTCTTTCAAACAAACACACCCCTAAAATAGGCCCCATGTGGAACCAGACATGATTAAACAAAACCAGTGTACCTTACTCTGTCCCTCCGTATCTGGTATTTATGATAGCTCAGTTTTCCATTTACTACATTATTCTCTGTCCCATTCTGTATTTTTTTTTTGTTTTTCATTTTACTTGTTGCAGAAATAAATGTTTGGTGTGTGTGTGTGTGTGTCCCATTCTATAGACATTAGACACACACACGGAGTACTCTTATCCTTCCATATAACAGGCCATATTTGATTTCATTTTTTTATAGAAAAAAAAATAAAAAAGTCTATTTTGGGACGGACGAAAAGAAAAGTGAGAATTTTGTTTGGGAACAGAGGTGTTGCCGTGTTAGGAAGCCTCCCAAGTCCCACACCGAAGATAAAAAAAGACTCACATATAAAAAAAGTCGACCTAACTCTATTAGTATGAAGCCATTTGAGAGAGATGCCCAAACACGAACCCGTGAAAACTTGGCTCAAAGCGGACAATACAATCTCAATGGTCGCTCGGCCTATTCATTTCATAAATAAAAATGAAACCTCTGAATGAAAAATTGGACAGTCAGTCACTCTGTATGAAATTCTGAATTTTTGAAAGGTGGAGCTTAATGAGAGTATAGTTCAAGAAAAACCTGTACAAAAAGCTCTGAATAAAAGTTATGAAGAGCAGAAACTGCCAGCAAAAGGGTGCAGTGCCGACTACTTGGCAGGGGAACGTTCTCCGGTGAAGGCCAACTCAGACACCAATGCAATATGGTCACTTCCCCATTTCTGAAATCACAAGCCAACCAAAAAAACATCAGATGAAAAGAGGGTAAGTAATTCAAGAACTCAACATATAAGTGCAAATATAAAATTGATCGATTTAATGGTACGGGGATAAAAGTGAACATCTTCAAATAGTAAAACGACCATTTGGGTAGTTAAACCAAGTTTATGACAAATGGTGAACCAATGCCATGGTTGCTTTGCATTGGAAGTATAGGTCCCATAAAGCTCATATGAGCAGTAAGCTTTCAGTGAAAATCATACTTTTGTGGGGAATCCCCGGAACCACTGCATGGCCTGTTTTGGAATTGGAGCAAGCACCCTCACCGTTTGAAGACCTTCAGAACGCCTACGTGCCAAATCAAATACTCCATATTATTTATAATCAAGGCTATGAATGATTAAAATAACCTTGAGCATCAGGAATGTCCACATTTTCCCATAAAAATGCCTTCTTCCCTTTAGTACAGAAAATTGTCTCATCCGGTAAATTTAACAACATTAGTTGTTTCAATTAGCAAAAATGATATGTAAAATATAGTGGAAATTTACTAACTGTTTCATTAAACCTGGAAAAGAAAAAACATTAAACACGTTAACCATTTGTTTTCCTAGATGAAAAAACAAAAGAAAGGTTCATCTTTTTTGTTTGTCCCACCACCACTGACCGATCATGTTGCCGCTGCAGCCACTGACCACCTCAAGTGGTCCCGACACTATGCGTGTGACATTGGAAAACGTAAAGTAGAGAAGAGAATACAGAAGTAAAGGGATCCTTAACTAAGCACCCCATGTGGCAGTTTACCTCAAAATTTGAATTTGCACCCCCATCGAGTGCAAGATCAAATGAAAAATTAATGATTTGCCAATTGAAATATTGAGGTAAACCAATGCGTGCTAAGACAACCTTGACATAAAGGATGTTTACATTTCACTCTCATTCGTGGTGGATAGAAATGGAAATGCATCTCTTAGTTAATGTGTTAAAATCTCTTGCTCGCATTTATGTAACCCTTTCAACCCTTAATCTTTGATTGTTCAGTTCAAATATCCTTGTTTGTTTTCTTTAGTCGGGGCCTTTCCGAAACGACCACTCCACCTTTATATGAAGGGCAGAAAAGGTAAGGTCTGCATACACTTGCTTTTCCCGAACCCCACTGGTGGGATTTCACCGGCTCTTGTTGTTGTAGACTTGTCAATGCATTTTCCTAAAAATGCATCAAAGAGATTTAAAGGCATCTGCATGTGTGCACATGTTGGAGAGGGGGGAACATGCTTTTTGAAAGATCTTTTAAAACTTGAAATAATTGATACCATAATAAACATGAAAAGGATCCATTCAAAGAAAGCCATCATTATTCATCTTGCAACGCAAATAGCTCACAAGACACAAATTACGCAGAGCAACTATAGCTGAAACCCAGTTCAATCATGAGGTAAACCGTAAAGACTTACCATATATAATCAACTGTGCCGAGGAAGCAGCGGTGGTAACTGGTAGCCTCAGGTTCCCCGATAGAATCTCTTGTTCCTGTGACATCCTGCAATACAAAAATGGAGTTTGGAAGAACGTAATATGTGATTAAAATATACAACTGTCTTGCTGGGTAATATTTTTACGTTAGAGAGATTTTAAAAAAGTATATCTGAAGCCATGCTTTTAACCAAGGGCTACCTCAACATCTCGATAAACGCTGCTTAGCTTAAAAGGGTGTTCCATTATTGTGCAATCAACACTTCCTGTTGCAGTTTGAATCTCCATTGGTGTCCAAGCTGATGGATCATAAGTGGCCTGAAAATCAGCATCACGGTAATCATTGAGGAAATCTTCCCCTAATTGAAGTGACTTTTCCCTGTGAGAAACGGCAGATGGCTTAGACTGTTCATCTAATTCTTTTAACTCAGATGCTTGAAAGTCAGTGGATTCAGATACACCACATATCTCAGACAAAAATATTTCAGAGTCTTCACCAGAAGACTGATCTCCTGCCCCTCCAAACACCCTATCCAGTGATAAATTCTCCATTGTCTTATCTAAAGGTGCAACAGCCAATTCAGATGGCTTGCTAAATCTATCTGTTTTTGGAGCAAAATCTTCAGACAACATACCATTATTTTCATTTCTAGGATGATTTTCGCCAATAGATCCTTCTTCCTTGTAGCAGATTGACTCAAGATCTGAATGTGTGTCTGGATCCAAAATATTTATGTGTGAGTTTGATATAGCATCTGAGCTGGAATTTTCACCATGCCCGCTTTCAATAGTCTTAGAGCTGTCTTCATCTAACGTTGATGATATTGAATATTCATTACGAGAGATATGTTGACTATCCTTTGAGGCACTGAGAGGAACAGAGGGAGATCTGTGGGAAGCGTGCAAATCTTCTATTGTTGCCTCTGTACTTTTATGAATTTTATCTTCAAAGTGGAGACCCACAATTGATGCACCGGACTCATTTACTACAGAATTCTGAGCTTGGCATCTGCTACCTCTGGAAAAACCGTCTCCTGATGCAATTTCTGGAGAGCATGTGCTTACATCTAATTTGGAACATCTCTCTCCGCCTTCTCCTTCGTGTGAGACCGTAGAGCCTTTAACAGAATCCCCTGAACAAGGGGCCCTAGATATTAATAAAAGGAACACTTCAATCAAGACATATAAGAAAGGATGTGTGTATACCCAGTGCATTGACATCTTGCAGGATATTTAGGAGCATAAACAAATCTATTTCCAAGAAAACATTGTAACTTGAACATTTTAGGGCAAGTTGACTCTAGTAAAAGTTATGTGTTCCAATATATTTTTCCCGAGTCCATTGTACTGCTAGATTTATCTCTCGGTTCTTGAGTAGTGAAGTAGTAAGAAGCAGTTTGTTTAGCTTTTCGAGTTTTCGTCCATCGAGGAATCATTTCTAATAAGCCAGTTTCACATGTTTGTGCGTACCATAAGTCATTGTTAAATCTGTCATCTAACGATATGTAGCACACTTCAAGGCCAAAGTTTTCAATATAATAGGTTATACACGATTCAAAATTTCAGAGACCAATAAGATTTACTCCCTCCACCCTATAATGATCTTCCTAGTTTGATTTACGAGGTTTGACTCAAATTATTTTCAATTCAATTTATTTGATTATAGGTGTAAAATTAAGAAATAAAAATTATATATTTTTTAAAACTACATCAAAAGTTCTACAAAACAAGAGGTGACATGACTATATTATTTTATCAAATAACTAACGAAAATAGGTAAAGAAAATGATTAAAGTTTGACCATGTGAATGACTGGGAAGATCATTTTAGGATGGAGGGAATATTAAATAAAAAAAGCTTTAGGGTTTTAAAAATGACAAATATATTTTACGAATGATAGATATTTAAATTTATATATTAGGGTTTTGTAATTTTGGATGTATTTTAGGTAGAGAGGTTTGCAACACAATAAAAATAAAAAAAGAAGCATGAGTTTCTCTTTTGGATCCTTAGAAAAGTCCATAAACATATGTAAGATATGCATCTTAGTTCTTTATTTGAAAATTCAACTACAGTGAATCCATACCTCTTTACAGAAGGTGAGCGCTTCGGTGAATATAATGTTCCCGACTCCTGCCCAGAAACCTTATCTCGAGCTACTTCTGATATGTCCAGCTGCAAAAGAAAACAAAACAAATAGAGCATTAAAATATGTACAACGCAAAAATAAGTTAGGGAGATGAAACAAAAGAAAAGCAAATACATAGAGATATTTGACCTTTTGTTCAGCAATGAAATTGTAGAGCGGACTCTGGTAAAAAGAAGGAAAGGCATAAATAAAGAAAAAAACAGGCTTACATTACTAACATGATTACAGGGCCACCAAGTGAGGTGATGATAGTTCATAAAAATAGGAAGTAAAAGAACACACCTTGGGCGTGCTGTTAAAATCTCCACAAATTACAACTGGAGCACCATTCCAAAGTTTTGAAAAATGATCAGCCCTATCAAGAAGCAGTCTTATCTATGTACAGCAAAAACAAGTTGAGTAAAAAAGATTTCATCAGTAAGATGACTAAGTTCTTTCTGCTTAAAAAATATAATGTATGCCTGTATGCCACTAAAAAAATTCAAATGAAAGGAGACCAGCTTTGATGACAGCAATGAAGACTAGAACCAGTGATACAATATGGACATTTATGGCTACTAAGGTACGGAGTAATAAACAAAAAATAAATACTTAATTGGTTCTTTTTTTGAACTAAGGTATGCATTTTGCTTCACATAAAATAGGAAATAGGTCAATTTCGTAAGTACAGAGAAGAGGACAGACGCACTATGTTTGTATGTGTGCCCAACAACAACAACAACAACAGACCTTGTAGGTATGTGTGTTCAACTGTGCATAATAAAAGGCGGGGAGTAATCGGAAGGCAGCCAAAAGTTTCAATAGATTAACGGCTATGAGCTTCCCTCCAAAATCCAAGAGAAACAAGTGCAAAATATGAAGATAGCATTTGAAAAAAAATAAATATAAAAGAGCATGCATTCATCAAGTACTAATACATAATCAGGCAAATTCATTTGGTGCTTCTACACCATTTAAGGAAATTGGAACCAATCAAACACCTCAGTGGAACAAAGGCATCTTATGTAGGAGGCATAAAACTCAAAACCAGGCGACAACCAAATGCTTGAAGGGAAAACCAGACATTATTGCTATATTAGCTTGACCTAATCCAATAGTCTTACTATATACCGCAGTCAGCATGCTTATTAAAATGCAATCAAACATGGCCTTTTGGAGACAAAAGTGCAAAACAGCACAAGCTACGAGAATATCCATAAGGTCTCTAAGCAATAAGGTGATATGATATGGCATGAGCCACATGGCATGCTTACTAGACTGATGTGAGCCAACCTAGTAAACCCCAAATGCGCTGAATAATACCTGTCCAAGCTTCATCTCACCCCTTCGAGGATTGAAAAGCACGTGAACATTACATATTACAACTTTATTAGTATTTGATGAGCTGCAAAAGAATTGAAACTAAATTACATGAGATGTCCCTGAGATATAAAGAACTGTGTACATGTCATAAACCATTTGTAGCAATTGATGCCATACCAACATATATGAAGTATAATTTGATGAGAAAACTAGTTAGCAATTATGGTCCCCATACAATAACAATAGATATCCACGAAACAAACGAAGTTTTAAGATCTGTTGCACCACACCCAAAAAAAGATTAGGGATATAATCTTCAGTGTCACTCTTCACACCTTTAGAAAATTTGATCTGCAATCATTTCACATAGGTATGTACATGCACATACATGCATGGATGTAATTATTTCACCTCTAGCATTTAGTACTCCATCCCTCCACAATATGACTTCCAGGTTACTATTCTGATTTCTTGATGTCAAGGAACCAACTCAACCAAAAGCTCAAGCTTGTGGTTGTGGCCCAAGAATGATTGTTATATACTCTAACACGCCCCCTCACGTGCAGGCGTGACTTCTTTGACCCTTGCACGTGAAACCTTAATATTTTAAAAACTGGGTGACGCTGAGTTTCGAACCCGTGACCTCTTAGTCAACACAAGACTCCGATACCATGTCAAGGAACCAACTCAACCAAAAGCTCAAGCTTGTGGTTGTGACCCAGGAATGATTGTTATATACTCTAACACTTGAAAACTTTTGTTTATTTGTGTATTTCAATTGATAATTTGATAAAATAAAAGATTTATGTCAGATCTTGTTTTATACTCCCTCCTCAAAATAATGTTCTTAGTTACTATTCACAGGTCAAACTAACTCTACTTTCTTTATACATTTTCATTAATCATTTGATAAAATAAAATAACTTTGACACCACTTGTTTTGAAGAACTTTTGATGCAATTTTCTAATATTGACTATATTATTTTAATTTTTTAATTCTACACCAATTCTACAATAGTTACCCATCCACTGCATCACCAGTCCGCATCTTAACTCAACATTGAATATATGGCCAGTCCATCTATATTACAATAGTTACACGTCTATATTACACATCTAAAATAACCTTGACACCACTTGTTTTGTAGAACTTTTGATGCAATTTTCTAATATTGACTATATTATTTTTATTTTTTAATTCCACACCAATTTTCACCTATATTGATTTGAAAATAACTTCAGAACACATGGTAAACCGAATAGGAACCTTATTTTGGGACGGAGTGAGTAAAACTATTGATGTATTTTGGAAATATGTAATTTGTACTTTTTATTTCTATACCAATAACATCAACCACGAGAGTCTGGGTAGGGTGTGTGTACGCAGACCTTACCCCTACTCTAAAGTCGATAGTAAAGATTTGTAATTTGTGCCCCCTACTTTTTATTTCTATACCAGTTTGTAAATTAAATAAATTTAAAAGAGGTGGGTTTCTGCACGTTGTTCGAAACAGGAAGTTAATTTGTGGACGAAGGGAGTAGTATATTTCAAACTATGACACTATAGTTGAAATGTGGTAGCAGCCTTGTACTGAGACACCAGTACACCAAGTTTTATACTCTAAATTTTAGAACTTCAAAATGGTTTACTCCACGGAGCATGAAAATTTTCAAAAAGTAAAAAAATGCATTGTAGAAATTTGTTTAGAATAGAGATATGTGTTGTGTGAATTGATTTTGGGACATCCCAAAAAGGAATGTGTGAACTTCACTTTGAGATGAAGGAAGTGTATACTTTGAAGTTCAAAATATACATTGTAAAACTACATTAAAAAATATTTTACAGCAAGAAACAAAATGAAATCGGGACATTTCCCACAAAAAAAGTACCATGTAGTGGAAGTTGTGCTACTGTGACAAGCATGAGGATCCAATAACTGTCAACGAGAATTCAAGATTTAAAATACAGCACAAGATGTTAATTCCATTCTTTAAAATCTACAGAAAAGGTCAACTAACACTTTGGGATTATATACCTCAAATACACATATCTGGGCAACATTATCACGAAGACCATGCTGTTTGAATTCAATAAAATCTTCCTGAAGCAACTTCAATCTGTTAAGTATCAGAAAACATATTTAAATTAGATAATATTAAGTTACCATCTAAGGTTCCATACTTTGAAACTTGGTACGTGCTTTTGCAATGATGAGACTCAAAGAAAGTTGTCTTCATCTCACAAAAAATGACAGAACAATGAGTGCTCAATTCACATATAGAGATCACCAACTTCAGTTACCAATATGAGCTACAAGGGAAAAAAACAAAACAAGACAAAGTGCAAATACAACTTGCCAAGGATTTACTAACTGCAGTGCATTGAGAAAACAAAAAATGATAGATCACATACAACGGAAAAACAAAAACATGAAGGTAAAAAAGCAGGATTCAACATTACATTACGCAAGTACTAAAAGTCTTTAAGATTAAGGGAAGAAATTTTGTGTAAAGTCAAATCTAATTTGTTACCCAAATAAGTAAACAACATGTTTCGGAATGCTATACGATAAATTGTTGCCCCACTGACTAATCACAACTTGTGAGTTCATAACTGCAAAACTATGTCAGTATTTAGCTCATGAACACAGGCAAAAAAAGTGAACTTATTTTGTGCAGAGTAGTTCAATTAAGCATTGCAACTGTAGAACTTTTACCTAGAACCACGCCAAAATATTGCACACCCATCCACTGCATCACCAGTCCGCATCTAAACTCAACATTGAATATATTACAGAGTTACACATCTATATTACAATAGTATTCATTTATTTATGATGCCGGTTCTCATGACATTGGGAATCAATGTCATGGGATGACCCGGGGGTGCTCCGGTGCCCTGTTCGTAAAATTGACAATCCCTACCCCTCCTAACCTCCCTGGTAACCCCCCGCCCCGGCCCGAACACAACCCTCACCCCCTTCAATTGCACCCCCTAAGTTAATTTTGACTTTGGAGTCAAAATTTTGACTCCAAAGTCAAAATTAACTCAGGGGGTGCAATTGAAGGGGGTGGGGGTGTGTTCGGGCCGGGGCGGGGTGGGGGTTTACTGGGGAGGTTGGGAGGTAGGAACTATCAATTTTACGAACGGGGCACCCGGGTCATCCCATGACATTGATTCCCAATGTCAAGGGAACCAAGGGGTTTATTCATTGATACTAAGGCACCAAGAAGATGTCATGTAAGTATGTAAACAACAAAGATTGTACAATAAAAATACTAAGAGATTAAAGTCAGAATAAAGCCATAATGTTTTAGATCCATGACTTCAGAAGATAAGAATCACATAAGTGATGGACATCTCAGCACAAACTATGGTTTTAAAGTGTGTTACTCCCTCCGTCCCCCAGTTTTTGTCCACTTTCATTTTTGCACACCATCCAATGCACTTCTTTAATCCATTTTATCTTGTAATTTGTATATTAAAAAATTATAGAAATTATATATTAATAATCTATATGTTAAGACAAATCAAACAAGATCACACACGACTATATTTAGGCTTACACATTGAGAGAATTTGATGAGTCAAAGTGCTTAGATGAACCGTTCCAAAAGTCAAAAGTGGACAAAAATTGGGGGACGGAGGGAGTAGTATGGAATGGAAATCTGATCCTTCATAATTACTGCTTCCCTGCTGAACTAGGATGGATAGATACTCTAGGCTCAAACGAGAAGGGGAAATTATAGGCCTAGAGTCAGATTTTCTTTAAGTAGCTCTACAAGTACAAGCTCTCTTTTTCAGTAAGCAACGCACATTGGTTCTATAGTCAAAATGGCCATCAAGAACAAGTACGAATAACCTCTATTGCTCTTCATAGGCAAACCAAGATAGATCTCTAAACACATTATTTGAGGGTGAAAATAAGGCTCTTAGTTTTTACGCCTCAACTCTATTTGCACATTTTCAATTTAGGCTATTTGCCGTCATTGCCAACAGCAAGTATATCACTTCCCCTCCACGTGTTTATTTATTACTTTAGTTATTATTATTGTCAGAATAAAGATAGTGAAAGAATCTTGATCCCAACACCTTCCATATTCCTTTGTATCCACGCAACTGCAATTCAGCCTCCAAGTCCTGAAATCTGTCAACCTCCTGATAAATTTAGAAATGGAAAAAAAACAAATGAAAAGTCATGCTGATAGCAACACTCAACAGAATGTTCGAGTTGGAAGGGGGTGGGGATAATTTGAATCCAATTTTGACTCCATTTGTTTCACCCAACGAGATTGTTCATGCTACACAAAATTGAAGCTGAAGATTACAAATACAAAACCGGCATAATTTCCTAATTTCTGTGTCATTTTGTAGAAACTGGCCTCCTCTTTCCATGTTACACGAGTACACATAGAAAATGCTGTCCACATTTGAACATTATTAATATACACAGAACACCTTTTTTCGGTAATCAATTGTCCAAGAATATGGAAACTGAGTAGGTTTGTGTTGGGTGGATTAAGTCATGAAACATAATTAATATACATACACTTTTTTGTCAGCAAACACATTTTCCACCCATACATATTTCCCAACAAACTCAAATGAACAACCATGACTGATAATGAAATCCCATACATAGTTCAAAAGGTTCAAGTATTATTTCAACTAACACCAAACACCTCTTTGTTGTACTCCCTTTGTCCCCTTTTGTAAAATACTTTCCTTTTTCTCTATCCCAATACAAATTTTATTTGTCTTATTTAATACGAAGTATATACAAACTACTTTCTTTATGGTAGGGGCAAGGTCTGCGTACACACACCCCTCCTCCCCAGACCCTACTTTCATGGGATCCAACTGGGTTGTTCTTGTTCTTTCTTTACAGTGTTTCTTTCCCAGTTCCATCAAAGGTCTCTTCATTTTAATTGCAACCAGCTGCATAACACCAAATGATTTTTCTACCTTTTGATGGGATATAATGGTTCATGAATCACGAGATATATAAAACAGCAAGTATCAAGTTATGAACCTGTAAACAAAGTACATCAGCTGACCAAAGTCCAAGTTCAAAAACGATGCTTCTCTTGCGCGACTCCCAGTCCATAATATGCCGAGGTATGTGAAAGTAAAGCTTCCTCCATAATGTTGTGCACTAGCTTGCACATGATACAACACGCCAATACATAGTGATCTTGTTATTTATTATTGTGTCAAAGCAATTTGGCACAATGGAGCTGCCCCAAGACATTGCAGAAAACTATGAAGAAGGTATTCCATAGCCAATTTTTTGGGTTTGAGGATCAAGCTTTGCTGAGCTCTGCTTTGTCCATGATGGGCACCTTTGGTTGATAAAACAAAGATCCAACACGTATGGACGAGGATTTTCCCGGTGGAAAATGAGAGAATATGGGGATTCCAACACGCATAAATCCCTATATTCTCTCATTTTTACATATGAAATCCTCATTCATACGGGTTGGATATTTGTTTTATCAACTAATTGTGCCCATCATTAACAAAAAGGAAATAAAAAAGATTGAAATAGCTGAGAGAATACCTTTTTGGGGTTGTCTCGTAATGGCTTGGGCAGCTCCAATTCGCCAAATGCTTCAACACATAAATCAAATAACAAGATCACCCTTTGTTGGTGTGTTGTATCATGTGCAAGACAATGCATGACATTATGGAGTGTTGCAGATTAGATCTTTTGTCAAAGACTTCATACCATGGTGCTTAACATTGCGTAAGGTGATGTCCTTCCAAACCTGACTCTTAAACCTAAAGATTTGTAAACTAGGCTCAAGAAAGTCACAACCCAAATTAGCAACCTTATAGTCATTAGATCCCAAATCAAACCCAAAACCTGAAGTGACTTGAGACTTGCCAATCTATCCGGACATGAATGGCAATCGAAGCCTTTTTGGGATTGTAGGATTCCACAAATAAATTTCATTGGCTTCATGCACCACAAAATCTTTATCATTAACCAAACAAACTAAACCCTTAACACTACTAATTAGTCTAAAATAGCTTTTATCAGACTGAATAGAAAGATCATTACTCATAAAGATGCAACAGAGATTGAAGTTTTCATCATCTATGAAGATAGAGTACTTGCCATTATAAAAGTGAAACGAAAAGGGCTTTGAAAGACAACGAGGGGGTTTTAGCCAATGTTACAATAAGACATTGCCACTGTTGAGACACGCGAGGGACCTGGGATAATCAAGATGATCAACGTTCACATAGGAGACCCTCATCCACATATTGGAATCCCCATATAGTGAAGTACTAATTTTAAGATTAAATCTATGCAGAAAAAATTGCCTTGGGTGAATTAATACAAATATTTACATTTCCTAAAAAATACATACCCTCCATTGAAACAAACTCTCTTAAAGAACAATGTTGAAAGGGTTAAATGTTTTTTGCCAATATCATTTTTATGACTTCATTGTCCGCACAAGTAGTACTTATAAGAAGCCAATGTGATTATACAAGGCATTCTTTACTCCATTAGGGTTTTAGACTGTTAGGGATGCGACCATACGTAGACAAGCTTGTAAAAAAGGAACATGCCTTGAGAAGACGTATCTTCACATAACCTAGATGAGTTTACAATTGCAATACATGAGTTTCTTCTCAATGTCAATAGTTGTCTTAAAGGTTTAGGTGGCCATATTCTCACACAATTAAAACTGAAATGGAAATACATTTCTTTCTTCTTCTACTTAAGGCACCTTAAAGAGTAATATATAGGTAACCAGATATAGCTAATTAACTCGCCATGAAGAAACGTAGATGATGCTAACTTCATCTGTTCCTTAAAATATACTACGTAAAAAGATTGATCTTTTTTTCCTTGAAGGAGTCCTTTTTTAAATAAGCTTTCTATGACGAACAATGCAGCTCATTTTTGAAACGAACAGTTCAAGGAAGACCACAGAAGCAGATGAGACACACCATAGCCAATAAGAGTTGAAGTAAGTTACCACAATTAGGAGGAGGTCGAGGTTCGGCTTTAGCATGCTCCCAAACCCGGAAATTCAAAGCCTTGGGAGGTCTCGGACGCGGGCGGTACTCATGAACGGGTGATGTTGGCCTGAACTGTTGATTCCGATAAAAATGTGGCCTACCTGGTGGTGGGTACACAGGTCCGCTAAACTGCTGATCATTTATTGGAGGAGGCAATGGTCTGTAAAATTGCTGATTAGAGTATGGATTTGGAGGCGGATAATGGCTGAAAGACGGTTGAGGCGGAGGATAAGGCCCGTTTTGAGGCGGGAAATTCAAATTGCCTCCAGGGCAGTACGACGGTAGAAACCCTCGATTAGGGTCTTGTACGGGCCGGTAATCGGAGCCGCCGGGTACTTGAGGGCGTCCCTGTTCATCTCCATACGGCCGATCGGAGTAACTTCTCAGACCTGGGCCTCTGCCGCCTCCTGGCTGTAAACATTGTTCTATCAAATTTAGTGTGCAATTTATAAGACACTGTGTCACTGTGATGGTATAAAATTTTATTGTCGGAACTCACTTGGGGATGACGGTACATGAACGGTAAGGATGCGGCGACGGCGGCGGAGGCAGGGCGGCTGAAGGAAGGAGAAGAAAGCTTCATTGGGAGCTCCATTAGAGCCCGTGATACTCCGTATATTTTTTATAAGTATAGGGTACACCCCAAATGTACCACTCCGATTTCATATATATTTGCAAATAAAATAAATAATAAATAAATAAATAAATAAAAATGACTGATAAAAATATGGGTACTGGGTAGTGCATATTTTGGGTATATTTTTGGTGTATCTCTAGCATCTGGCATTTTTATACTCCTTCAAATTCCTAATTAACTTTTGAAACTTAAAACTAGAAAAACAATCATACATAAATATACAATTTTAAGTTAATACTCCCAAATTTAATATGGAGTAATTGACACATTGGTCTTATTCTAAGGAGTGGAATGCGTGCCATTTTAAATGATGGCTGAGAAATTTGTATAGGTGAGTTACACAACAAAAAATAAAGAATATAAATCGATTGTATTAAGAGATAAATTTGAGAGTATCTCTTACAAAATATGAAGTTTAAAATTTTTTAATTTTTATCTAAAGCATTATTCAAATTTATCTAAGTTAAAATAAAGATATTTTAATAAAATACATTTCATTTTCAATTAATGCATTTTAGTTTAAAACTACCCAATGTAATTTCATACGATCTACTATCAAATATAGGTATAACATAACCAATGTATTGTCTATATTTTCTGTCGTCAAGTCACACATAAAAGTTGTTTATTCACCATTTAGAATGACATGTATATTACTTAGTTGGTAGTTTGTGTAATGATCTTAAATTGAGTAATTTCTACAAAATTATTGAACTTGATAGTATTAACGTAAAATCACAGGTTTCTAAGAGTATTCACGTGACTTTTGGCAAATGAAAATAAAATTAAACTTCAAAGTTTAACATATCCAAATTTAGTTTTAAATTTTTGTTATCTCAACCCAACTCATTTCAATTAGGTGTCAATTTGAACTATTGAGTTCATTTAAACTAGACTTTATTTTCTTGAGCTCGTTGCACGTATAATAACTTCTATTAGTTCATAAGTTCACACATCAATAATGTTATGTAAAATCTAACTTTAACACGATCTCTTGTAGAAAAATGAACTCTAAAACTTTAATTCATGAAATTTATATCTTAGATTTCAACCAAAACTACAAATTTTGATTAGGTAAAAGTGTAGCATGATAAGATTTGTATATGAGGTTGTAATAACTCTATCAATATCCCCCGTGTATCTCCACATTTCCAAAAGTGACAAGTAAAAAAAGTCTACTAATTTTATTCTATGTATATGTAAGTATAAATTTTACTTTCTCAATCTATTGTCGGTACAATGTAATGACTTTCATATATGCACATTTCATTTATCTTTTACTTAAAAACTCACCTTTTTAAAAGAACATCAAATTCATAAGTATACAAAATGGAGTATATGATAGAAACTAGTAGTACCTTTTATAAAATGGAGTATAAAAGATGTCCTTTTTTTAATATTTGAATTTAAATATTTTATCATGAATTTTTACATTTTTTTAGTTTTAGAATACATATTAGAAAACATATTTCTAATCAAATTCTATGTAAATGATTCTTGTATGAAAACAGATACAAGTGATAAATGCCTCCCCCTGACATCACTAGATATAATAAGAGCATAAAACAAAAATAATAGAGCTTGCAGGGGGCGGGGGGGACACAAATAATAGAACACATAATTGATTTGGCCAGGCAAGAAGAATTATAGACAATTAATTCTTGAACATAATAACCAAACTCCTAGAGTATGTATAAGACATAAATACGGAGTATTTGCATTAAGAGGTCAGAGGCAGATAATGTATGTAATTGGTAACAAATGTCTTGAATGGAACAAAATTTTTGTTTCTACTCGAATATCAACTCTTCATTCAGAGAAAAAAAAAAACTAATTGCATTCCAATGGGATTCAAGAAAACAATTCAGTAGCAAAAAAGCACAAGTTTTGGGAATTGGAAAATCTGAACCGAATCACTCTATTTATTCGACTGGGATTGAGGGATGAACTTGGTCACCACATAGCAGTCTGGGGGCGTTATGTTCGTGTAATAGTTGTGGATGGTATCCGTAATCTGGAACCCAAATTTCTGGTAGAATTTGATGGCATCGTCGTTGTTTGTCTGGACGTGCAAGTAAATCTCACTGATATTTTGCTTGGCACAGAGATCAAGAACATGATTCAACAGCTTTGAACCTTCACGTTGTTGGGAAATATTAATTAAATATTCAAGAAGAGAGAAAAAGAAATAAAAAAAAAGGAAAAAGGATAGTGACATGCATTTGGATGTACAACATGCATTTGAAGAGTTTTTTTGGTTTTTTGTTTCTATCTCTTTGGATTAGTGCAAATCAACAAGCATCTTCTAGGCATTACACATGTACGAGTGATTTTGAGAGGCTTTGAGTTGCTTTAAAAGGAGTGAGACTAAGGTAGATGTGTGTGTGGGTTTTACACACCACCAAGGTAGAGAGAGAAGCATGAGAGGAATTCTACACAAGAATACCACCGGGAAAATCCAAGGGGTCTTGGTGAGTGTGGGTGAGTGTAGGGAGTAACTGGTTTTAGTTACTCGGAAAAATATATCCGGGCATAGGATGTGGAAAAATCTGTTTACGAGTGTCTGGAATTTAGCCTTGTAAACAGGGGAGAGTTTTTTGTATATTGTCCTGAAGTAGTGGAAATATAATTTTTTCTCTCATATATTCTTCTTGTGTTTCTTCTCTCATTTTTCTGGTGTTCTCAATATTTTTCGGTATCTTACGCGCTTAAAATCCCAACAATTGGTATCAGAGCTTGGTTACGCTGGGCAGGAGGGATTTGTAAGCGGTAAAAAGAGAAATTTTGAGAACCCAGGGACTGGTCAGTTTTGGCCAGAAGGCGACCATGGGACTTCAAGAACAAAGTGGAGGGCATGAGGACCGGGTACGAAGCGGCATGCTGGCTTTGTGAAGTATGATGCGGGAACAGGACTTGAGGAGATCGGTGGTCTAGCGGAGTGGAAAACTGCGGTTTATGTCTTGTGTCGAAAGTCTTCCCGGCAAGAAGAGGTCGGGCGGCGTGTTCCGCAAGTGTTGCTGCGGCGGTGCAAGATGGGCAGATTGAAAGAAGCTAACTGCTAGAGGGGTGGTCTCAGAGAATGTTCACAAAGGTGAGTTGTCATTTTTTTTAGCTCGGGGTGGAGGGTTAAAACTCTAGGGAGCTAAGGTAGTGGCAAAGATCTTGATGGGATTCGTTGAGATGGAGTCACGGGTACAATGAAAACTGGAAGCAGCAAGGACCTTGTGGTATTGAACAAGGTGGAGCTACAAAAGCAATAAAAGGTGACAGAGATCTTGCGGTTTTGAGCAAGATGGGGTCACAAGAAAATTTACAAGGTGGCGGTGATCTCGGTGGAGCCACGATTTTTTCTTCTATGAGGTTGGCAGCGGTGATCTCGGTGGTGCAGACTGGCAGACTGGGATGGCACCAGGGATATTTTTTTTATTTCGGAGTAGCGGTGTTCTCGGCTTCTCGCCGGAGAAGTGAGGTGGAGCTACAAAGTTTGTTGATTA